TAATGCACAGGACAGCCCCCACCACAAAGAATTTTCCAGCCCTAAATGTCAGTAGTGCCATGGTTGAGAAATCCTGGGTTAAGAACAAGGCATGGGCATCAGAAAGATAGCCATAGTACTGCTATGTATTTGTTTGAGTCATTGTTTTTAATTCTTTTGGGATATACCTTGGAGTGAGATTGCTGGATCATATGATAATTCCATGTTCAACTTTTTAAGGTACCACCAAACTCTTTTCCACAACAGCTCCACCATTTTAAATTCCTACTGGCAATGGTTAAGAGTTCCAACTTCTGTACCTCTTCACCAACACTTGTTATTCTCTCTGTCTCTCTCTTTTGGGTTATAGCCATCCTAGTGCATGTGAAGTGGTATCTCACTGTGATTATATGATTTGCATTTTCCTGACACCTAAGCATGTCGAATATCTTTTCATCTATTTATTGACCATTTGTATATCTTCATTGGAGCAACGTCTATCCAAGTCCTCTGTCCACTTAAAAATTGGGTTGTTTGTCTTTTTGTTGTTGAGTTTTAGGAATTCTTTATATATTCTGGACACTAGACTCTTATTAGATGTATGGTTTGCAAATGCTCCTCCCATTTGGTAGGTTATCTTTTCACTTTCTTGATAGCATCCTATGATTCACGAAAGTTTTTAATCTTGATGAAGTCCAATTTACCTATTTTTTCTTATGTTGCTCATACTTGTGGTGTCATATCTAAGAACTGATTGCCAAATCCAAAGTCATGAAGATTTACTCCTATGTTTTCTTCTAAGAGGTTTATGGTTTTTGCTTTTATATTTAGGTCTTTGATCCATTTTGAGTTAATGATTTTATGTGGTATGAAGTAGGGGTCCAACTTTATTCTTGTGCGTGTGGAAATCCAGTTGTCCCAGCACCATGTGTTGAAGAGATGATTCTTTCTCCATTGGATGGTCTTGATATCCATGTCAAAAATAGATTGACCATAGATGTATAGGTTTCTATTCCATTGGTCTGTGTGTCTATCTTATGCTAAATACCATGCTGTTTTGTTTACTGTAGCCTTATAGTAAGTTTTCAAATTGGGAAATGTGAATCCTCAAACTTATTTTTTAAGATTGTTTTGGCTGATTGGGGCCTCTTGAAATTCCATATGAATCTGTATATTCCATTGGATAATATGGACATCTTAACAATTAGTCTTCCAATCCATGAGCAAGGTATGTCTTTCCATTTATTTAATTCTTCTTTAATTTCTTTTAGTAATGTTTTGTAGTTTTCAGTGTACAGGTCTTTCACTTCTTTGGTTAAATTTATTTCTAGGTAGGAAACAGTGTGATAGGCAATAATAGAAAAAGGAAAAATTGAAATTAAACATATTTATTTCTAGATGTTTTATTCTTTTGAATGCTATTATAAATGAAATTGTTTTCCTAATTTCCTTTTCAGATTATTTACCACTGGTATATAGAAACACAACTATTTTTGTGTATTTACCTTGTATCCTGCAACTTTGCTTAATTATTTTTATTACCTCTACAATACCAACGTTTTCTGTGTGTGTATTATCTGGCATTTTCTACATATAGGACCATGTAATCTGTGAATAGAGGTGGCTTTACTTCTTCCTTCCTAATTGGATGTCTTTTATTTCATTTTATTGTCTAATTGCTTTGTCTAGAACTTCCAGTACAGTGTTGAATAGCATTGGTGAAAGTGGGCATCCTTGTCTTATTCCTGGGTAAAGCTATCAGTCTTTCCCCATTGAGTATGATGTTAGCTGTGGATTTTTCATAAATGTACTTTATTATATTGCAGTTCCTTTCTGTTCCTAATTTTCTGAATGTTGTTATCATGAAAGAGTGTTGCATTTTGTCAAATGCTTTTCCTGCATCATTTGGGATGATCATGTGGTTTTTTTCTTTGTTCTATTAATGTGGCATGTTACATTGACATTGAGCCACCCTTGACTGACTTTTCTTAAAAAAAAAAAAAAAAGAAGAAGATTTTGAAAGGAAAAAACCTTTCTGACCCTGTGTACTACCTAGAAAATAGCCTTGGCAACATATCAGTAAATTCTGCTGCTGAAAGTGTGCAAGAAGTACTTGGATTGTTTAGTTCTGGGAAATATTGAGAACTTTTCCACTTCCCTTAAAAACATTGTGTTGAAATTTAAAAAGACAAAGCTTTATGGCTGGGCGCAGTGTCTCACGCCTGTAATCCTAGCACTTTGGGAGGCAGAGGAGGGCGGATCATTTGAGGTCAGGAGTTCGACACCAGCCGAGCCAACATGGTGAAACCCCATCTCTATAAAAAATACAAAAATTAGCCTGGCATGGTCATGGGCACCTGTAATCCAAGCTACTAGGGAGGCTGAGGCTCAAGAATCTCTTGAACCCAGGAGGCAGAGGTTGCAGTGGGCCGAGATTACGCCACTGCACTCCCACCTGGGCGACAGAGTGAGATTCTGACTCAAAAAAAAAAGTTTTTTAGATACCAAATTGACCTGCTGAGCTTTGTGGTCCTGCTTTTGTAATGCTTCTAGTATATAATTGTGGCAAAATTGGTTCAGATATTTCAACACATAGACAGAGGTCCCATTAAAAATTTTTTTCTGAAATAGGGTCTCACTGTGTTGTCCAGGCTGGAGTGCAGTGGTGGCATCTTGGCTCACTTCAACCTCCGCCTCCCAGGCTTTTCTTTTCTTTTTGAGACAAAGTCTCACTCTGTTGCCTGGGCTGGAGTGCAGCTGCATGATCTTGGCTCACTGTAACCTCCGCCTCCCACGTTCAAGTGATTTTCATGCCTCAGACTCCCGAGTAGCTGGAATTACGGCACCCACCACCATGCCCAGCTAATTTTTGTATTTTTAGTAGAGACAGGGTTTCGCCATGTTGGCCAGGCTGGTCTCAAACTGCCAACCTCAGGTGATCTGCCTGTCTCAGCCTCCCAAAGTGCTGGGATTACAGGTATGAGCCACTGCGCTGGGCTCATTTTTAAAACAAGATTTTCTTCGAATAACAATGATCTATTCGTTAGTAGGGCAGAGTTAGGGTGACAGAAAGCGGTGTGGGTTAGAGATTGGAATACCTGAGTTCATTCTTTCAACACACACTTGTAAGCCCTCACTGCATACCAGGCAATGGTCTAGACTCTGGAACCGAAAACACTCCTGAGGCTTGTTGGGCTTCTATGCTAGTTGTAAGCATACCCCACGGTGCGGATGATGGTGCCCTTCCTCCCTCCAGGGCCATGATGATGACTGACTATATGATAATACTACTAGAATGATGATGATGATGACAGAAGCAACAATTCCCTTTCATTTATAAAGTGGAATATAATTAAGAGTCTTTTAAAAAAAAAAATAACAGCTTTGGCTGGGTGCAGTGGGTCACATCTGTAATCCTAGCACTTTAGGAAGCCAAGGACCACTTGAGGTCAGGAGTTAGAGAGCAGCCTGGTCAACATGGTGAAATTCTGTCTCTACAAAAATACAAAAATTAGCCAGGCGTGGTGGTGCATGCCTGTAGCCCAAGCTACTCAGGAGGCTGAGGCAGGAGAATTGCTTGAACCCAGGAGGCAGAGATTGCAGCACTGCACTCCAGCCTAGGCAGCAAAGCGAGACTCCATCTCAAAACAAAAAAACAAAAAAGCCCAGCTGTTTTGAGAGATAAGTCACATGGCATACAATCCACTCATGTAAAGGACAAGTCAATGTTTTTTAACTGTATTCATAGAGTTGTACAACCATCACCTCAATCTGCTTTAGAACATTTTCCTCATCCCAAACAGACGCCCTACACCCTGTAGCCATCACCCCCATCCCACTAGGTCCTGGCAACCACTAATCTGTTTTCTGTCTCTCAAGATTGGCCTGTTCTGCACACTTCATATACTTGGAATCGTATAACATGTGACCTTTTGTGATTGGCTTCTTTAACTTAGCAGTTTTTAAGGTTCATCCACATTGTAGCATGTATTGGGCCTTCAATTCTCTTTCTTTCTTCTTCTTTTTTTTTTTGAGATGGACTCTCACTCTCCTGCCCAGGCTGGAGTGCAGTGGCATGATCTCGGCTCACTGCAACCTCCGCCTCCCAGGTTCAAGCGATTCTCCTGCCTCAGCCTCCTGAATAGCTGGGACTACAGGCGCCCGCCACCATGCCTGGCTAATTTTTTGTATTTTTAGTAGACAGGGTTTCACTCTCTTAGCCAGGATGGTCTCGATCTCCTGACCTCATGATCCACCTGCCTCGGCCTCCCAAACTGCTGGGATTACAGGCGTGAGCTAACGTGCCTGGTCTTTTTTTTTTTTTTGACAGACTGGAGTGTAGTGGTATGATCTCGGCTCACTGCAACCTCTACTTCCCGAGTTCAAGTGATTCTCATGCCTCAGCCTCCCGAATAGCTGCGATTACGCCACCAAGCCTGGCTAATTTTTGTATTTTTAGTAGAGATGGGGTTTCGCTATGTTGCTCAGGCTGGTCTTGAACTCCTGGCCTCAAGCAATCCACCCACCCCAGCCTCCCAAAGTGCTGGGATTACAGGCCTGAGCCACTGTGCCCAGCTAGCCTTCTTTTTATGGCTGAAGAATGTCCCATTGTTTGGATCCACCTGTTTATCCATAGATCGATCGATTCTGTTTCTACAATCATCAGTTAATGAATATTTGGGCTGTTTTCACATTTCTACATTATGAATAATGCTGCCAGAATGAAGTCCCTTAACGTACACTATTACCTCATTTAGTTCTCACTCGCATAAACGTTTATGATGTACATTGAGCAAGTGTTGCTATACCTAAATTAGAGGCAGGAAACTAAGATCCAGAGGGGTGAAGGAATATGTCCAAGCATGTTTCAGGCAGAGCAGGGAGGGGAACCCCATCTCTCCCCCGGTCCTGTGTTTCTGGAATACACAGCACCCCGACAGCCTCCCGCCCCACTAGCTTCTTTAGGAGAGAAATCATTTGATTATGTAATTCCTAAAATGTCTCTCCTTTTCTCCTTACAGATTTTCTGAATGGTCTTGCTTCTTTGTCTATCTTGTCTGATTTTCTCCTGTCTGACCTTTTCCTGGTTAAAAATCTGGGGGAAAATGACGGACTCCAAGCCGATCACCAAGAGTACATCAGAAGCAAACTTCATCCTGAGCCAGGAGCCCTTTCCAGCCTCTGACAACTCAGGGGAGACACCGCAGAGAAATGGGGAGGACCACTCTCTGCCCAAGACTCCCAGCCAGGCCGAGCCAGCTTCCCACAAAGGCCCCAAAGATGCTGGTCGGCGGAGAAACTCCCTGCCACCCTCCCACCAGAAGCCCCCAAGAAACCCCCTTTCTTCCAGTGACGCAGCACCCTCCCCAGAGCTCCAAGCCAACGGGACCGGGACACAAGGTCTGGAGGCCTCAGATACCAATGGCCTGTCTTCCTCAGCCAGGCCCCAGGGCCAGCAAGCTGGCTGCCCCTCCAAAGAAGACAGGAAGCAGGCAAACATCAAGAGGCAGCTGATGACCAACTTCATCCTGGGCTCTTTTGATGACTACTCCTCCGACGAGGACTCTGTTGCCGGCTCATCTCGTGAGTCTACCAGGAAGGGCAGCCGGGCCAGCTTGGGGGCCCTGTCCCTGGAGGCTGCTCTGACCGCAGGTGAAGCTGAGACCCATGTCCCCACTATGAGGTAACGTGTCTTTTCTCCTTATAACCGAGGAGTGCAGAGTTCAGGTGGGGTCCACACCCTTCCCAGTCTGTGCCCACCTTGGTCAAGCCATTTGCTGATGCCAACACTTCAAGGGTGGCTATGCACAAAAGGAGAAGACACGAGCCTTCTCAGAAGCTTCCTTCCTTCCTTCCTTCCTTCCTTCCTTCCTTCCTTCCTTCCTTCCTATCTTCCTTCCTTCCTTTCTTCCTATCTTCCTTCCTTCCTTCCCATCTTCCTTCCTTCCTTCCCTCCCTCCCTCCCTCCCTCCTTTCAAAATCATTCCTTGAGGCTGGGCGCAGTGGCTCATGTCTGTAATCCCAGCACTTTGGGAGGCCGAGGCAGGTGGATCACTTGAGGTCAGGAGTTCAAGACCAGCCTGGCCAACATGGTGAAACCCTGTTTCTACTAAAAATACAAAAATTTACTAGGCATGCTGGCGTGTGCCTGTAATCTCAGGTACTTTGGGGGCTGAGGCAGGAGAATCGCTTGAACCCAGGAGGCGGAGGTTGCAGTGAGCTGAGATGGCATCACTGCACTCCAGCCTGTCTGACAGGGCGAGACCTTGTCTCAAAAAAGAAAAAAAGGAAAGAAATCATTCCTCGTGCATCTACTGCATGCACAGGGCTCGATGCCATGAAACTGACTTTCTAGAAGACCTCAGCCTTGTTGGGGAAGATGACCTTGTGTGTAGTTATAATTTAAGATGAATGAGCCAAGGCTGGCAAGAGCCACAAGTAAGGATAGTAGTCTAGAGGGAGGGGCAGTTCTCTCTGCCTCCTAAAGAGACATTGATTCATTCATTTTTTTTTTTTTTTTTTTTTTTGAGACAGGGTCTTACTCTGTCACTCTGTTAGCTGAGTGTACTGGTAGGATCATAGCTCACTGCAACCTCAAACTCCTGGGCTCAAGCAATCCTCCCACCTCAGTGCACTCCTGGGCAGCTGGGACTACAGGTGTGCACCACCACACCTAGCTAATTTTTAAGTAGAAATGGGAATCTCACCATATTGCCCGGGCTGGTCTCCAACCCCTGGACTCAAGCGATCCTCCTGCCTCGGTCTCCCAAAGTGCTGGGATTACAGGCATGAGCCACCACACCCAGCCCATTCATTCATTCATTCATTCATTCAGCAGGTAACTGACAACTGAAAAACCATCCTTCCCCCCGTGATGCCTGAAAAGCAGAAACTCAAACACTCTGAAGGTCTCCATCAATTTGATTGTTGGAAATGAATGCCTGTAGGTTCATGCCAGGTGGGACTATCCCAGTGGCTGCAGTCAGTGGCTTTGTTGTTGATGTTGTTGTTATCTACCTTCTCCTCCGCCACCCCCAAATTACAAATGGAATACAGCACTTCCACGTAGAAAATCTGGGAAGTGCAGGAGAACAGAGAGAAGAAAAGAGCCACCAACCAAAACTTCACCAGCCAGAGGGAAACCTCTGTTCTCATTGTCTTATTTCTTCCTTCTAGTGTGTTTTGTTCCTCTGGAGTGAAGTTTTATTGGCTATTCTTTTAAGCATCTCCTGTGCTGTCTCCTCCCAAATTAGAAAAATCTAGAGGTGGTCTTCCGTGCGTGTCCATGTAGGCAGTGAGCTTGATTTTAACCCTGGTAGCTAGAAGTAGAAGACAGAGAAAAAGGAAGAGGAAAGTATTCCATATACTGACACTTTTTAGGGGAAGTGTTTGAGTTTCTAGAAGGGTTAAGGGAAGAGAAAGTCTCAGAATCTAGTACGAAGAGCACAGCCTGTGGCGTCAGCTGGAGTGGGGTGCAACCTTTGGCTCTGCCACCCCCTACTGTGTGACCTTGGGCATGACCCTTCACCTCTCCAGGCCGCCGTACCTCTGTAAAATGTGGAAGGGATTAAATGGGATAATGTGGAAGGGATTAAATGGGATAATGTAGGCAGGCATGGTGGCTCACACCTGTAATTCCAGCACCTTGGGAGGATGAAGCAGGAGGATCGCTTGAGGCCAGGAGTTCAAGACCAGCCTGGGCAACATAGTGAGACCCCATCTCTAAAAAAAAAAAAAAAAATTCAGAATTTGCCACACCTTGTGGTGCATACTTATAGTTCCAGCTACTTGAGAGGCTGAAGCGGGAGAGTCACTTGAGCCTAGAAGTTTGCAGTTACAGTGAGCTATGATTGTACCACTGCACTCCAGCCTGAGCAACAGAGCAAGACCCTGTCTCAAAACAAAAAAACAAAGAAGAATGTATCAAACCAACAAACTTGTAACATCATTATTATTACTATTTTCTGAGTCTTGAATGCCAAAATTGTTGTGAAGATTAAATGAACTAGTATTTCTCAGGTACTTGGAAAGAGAATAAAGCATCCATATTTGGTAGTTTATAAATAGAAAGGGGGGCAAGTCTCCCACCTTTCCACCCACTGTCTTTCTGCCACCATTTTGAGGGGTCTTTACTGGTTTGAGCTGAAACCACGGCTTTTCTGAGCTGGTACATTTATAAAGAGGAAAGATCTCTCTTTCTCCCTTTCTTCTTCTTCTTCTTTTTTTTTTTTTAGACAGAGTCTCACTGTGTCGCCCAGGCTGGAGCGCAGTGGCGCGATCTTGGCTCACAGCAACCTCTGCCTCCCGGGTTCAAGCAATTCTCCTGCTTCAGCCTCCCAAGTAGCTGGGATTACAGGCACCTGCCACCACGCCTGGCTAATTTTTGTATTTTTAGTAGAGACGGGCTTTCACCATGTTGGCCAGTCTGGTCTTGAACTCCTGACCTCAAGTGATCCACCTGCCTTGGCCTCCCAAAGTGCTGGGATTACAGGCATGAGCCACTGTGTCTAGCCTACTTAACTATCTTTTATAGGGAAAATGAAACCAAAATGTTGAGTGAATTTCCTGCCCTCGTGTCTTCATGGCATAGAAACCTAGCATTGGAGATAAATCTTTTATCCTTACTTTGTCCCAGCAAACAGCTGGCAGGAGGGACAGAGGGATCTTGGAGAGGCAGTGAATGTGGAGCTGAATGACATTGTAGGATTGTGGGTGATTCAAAGGGCTATGATACAGTGCAGGGAGGAGCGACGTGCTGCATGAACTTGAGTGAGTCCCTTCCCCTCTCTGAGCCTCCAATTTCTCATCTTTAGAATGAGGAGGCCTGGTGGCTCACACCTGTAATTCCAGCACTTTGGATGGCTGAGGCAGGTGGATCACTTGAGCTCAGGAGTTCAAGAACAGCTTGGGCAACATGGCAAAACCCCATCTCTACAAAAAAATATAAAAATTAGCCAGTTGTGATGGTGTGTACCTATAGTCCCAGCTACTAGGGAGGCTGAGGTGGGAGAATCACTTAAGCCGAGGAGGCAGAGGTTGCAGTGAGCCAAGACTGCGCCACTGCACTCCAGCCTTGGTGACAGAGATAGACCCTATCTCAAAAAAAAAAAATTAAAAATTAAAAAAAATGAATGAGGAGGCTGCACCAGGCTCCTGAGGTGTGACCTGTGGCCCTAAAGCTCACTGACTTACAGTTAGTTCTTTTGTCCCCAGTCTGTGAGCATTTTCAGAGTTGAGAATTGAGAATTTTAGCACCCAGGGGCAATGTGGGTGGTTCTGCTGGCACCTCCTGAGACACTGGCATTTCCTCGAGGAACATTCCCAGCCCCAGAATCAGGGTCCTCTGACAGAGGAGACCCACGTGTGTTTGTTGTTTCTGATGAACTGTTGTGAGAATCCCACATCAAAGAATCTTCAGGGAGTCAAGCCTTAGACATGTGTGCTGCTGCCTGCTGCCTCTGCTGTTTGGCTGGATGAAAAAATTATGTCAAAACCTGGGTGTTCCAGCCTGTTGGAAACAACACATATCAAAATGAGGCTGAGGCCCGGCATGGTGACTCATGCATTTGGGAAGACTGAGGTGGGAGGATCCCTTGAGCCCAGAAGTTTGAGAGCAGCCTGGGCAACATAATGAGACCCTGTCTCTACAAAAATAAAAATTAAAATTAAAATTAAAATGAGGCCACGTGAGGTGGCTCATGCCTGTAATCCTAGCACTTTGGGAGGCTGAGGTGGGTGGATTACCTGAGCTCAGGAGTTTGAGACCAGCCTGGGCAACATGGTGAAACCTCATTTCTATTAAACTACAAAAAATTAGCCAGGCATGGTGGTGCACGCCTGTACTCCCAGCTACTCAGGAGGCTGAGGTGGGAGAATTGTCTGAACTCAGGAGGCGGAGGTTGCAGTGAGCTGAGATCACGCCACTGCACTCCAGCTTGGGCAACAGAGTGAGACTCTGTCTCAATAAATAAATAAATAAATAAAATAAAATGAGGCTGAACATTCTGTTATCTTGCAGAGCTTTTGGCTTTGGATGTTGGCATCTTTGGCACACCAGATTGTTGACCCTGGCGTCCACAGGTCAACACCCAAGCAGTTTTAGGTATGG